AGGGACAACAAAGAAATTTTTCATTTACTTTTAAGTGTTGAGGGCCATAATTTTTTGTCTATAAATTGATTTTTTGAGGGCCAGAGTTTTTTGTGTATAAAAATTAAAATTGCGACGTAGTAAAGCCGCTCATGGCGGGTAACTTCTTACAACCCATTCTTTTGATTGAACCCGAAATCTCAAAACGGCGAAGGTAGTTTTCGAAAAGTCAAAATTGTTTTTTAAACGGACGAGAACTCAAAACATTATTTTCCGAGCGCCATTATTTGTAAAAATTTAAGAGCATATTCGCTGATGCAATTGAATTTCCCACAGCCCACTCTTTTTCCTAAATCCAAAATTTCAAACCTTTGGTTTTTAGCAGTTTGACTTTTGATTTCTTTTTTCAAGTTCAGTCCATTTCAAAAGGAAATAAAACTTAATTACCGCAGAGCAAACGTTTGAAGATCACGAAAAACGTGAATGACTTCTATAGTTTCAAGAAAGCTAAATTTCTAAATTCTCAGCTGATTAAACAATTTTTATTGATCCAAATTTTAAATACAAAAGTTTTAAGAAAAAATTGCCAATTCTTGAAAACCATCCTAATTTTGAGAGTCAAAAAATTGGAACATATTGAGTGATACAATCAAAATTTGAAACTTGAAAAATGTTATTACGCTTGCTATTAGCTAGGATGGTTTTCAAAACTTGGCTTTTTATGGACAAAGAATTTTTTGCTTAAAAAATTGAGCGTAGCTTTTAATGCAGGGAAGGTTCCAAAAACCCGTCTTCTACATTGAACCTAAATCTCAGATTTGGGAAAAACAGTTTGGGAGAAGAGTCAAAAAGTTTCACAAAACGGTCAAAACATGAAAGTTTTGATTTTTCTGAGGACCCAAACTTTTTAAGGAAACAAATTACAATTTAATCGCTCTTCTAGAGAGGTTCTTACAATTTGTTTGTTGCGTTGAATCTAAAACTCAAGGCTTTGGTGGTTAGTTTTCGACAAAAGTCAAAAATGGTCGAAAACGGTAAAAAAAAATTAAAGTTCTGAGAGCAAACTTTTGCGGAAAAAATTGGGTCGTAACCGCTCATGCAGGCACGCTTATCATAACCTATTCTATCCTTTGAACCCAAAACCTCAAATTTGGGAGAGTAGTTTTCGAGAACTTATTTATGGGCCAAAAAACTAATTTATGGGCCGAAAAATTCTCCATAGGAACATTTTCGAAGGCTGTAGAAAGTGACCTTTTGCGCACTACTGGAAGTGTTTTGGCCACAAGTTGCGTCGTTATTCGCTCTATCTTAGTCGACCGTCTAGTTTTCTCCGAAATTTGATTTTGAAATAAATCGAAACAGATTCGAAAATCTATATAAAACTGATTTTTAAAATTTTAGGAACAAATTTTGTACTGTTTTGTATCGGGCTCTGTTACACTTTCCCCTCACCACATCCCATTGAACCATTGAATTTGAAAAGGGGAAACTGGAAAAGAGCCTTTAATTGTTCAATTTTCGAATAAAGTGACGGAAAATTTGGGCTAACGGTAGTTTTTTTTCTCCAGACAAATGGCGACTTAACTTGCAATTTTTGACGGGATTTTTAACAAATCATTTCAAAGGTATTGACTCTTTGAATATATTTCAGCTATGATCATTTTTTGTAGCGTTATGGGGTTTAAAGATTGCCATTTGCGACAATAAAGGCGGAAAACAGAAGCGACGTATCCGCACCCCTTCCTCCTAAATTTGCTGCTGTTTTTGCTGTAAAAACATTATTTTAAATCCCCTTCCACAACGTTTTTATAATACAATGAAACTTTTTATGGCGAAGAAACATTTTACATACATTTAATTTTATACGTTACATTGTAACATCACATTTTTAGTCATAATGACACATAAACCCCCACATTGGGCTCTTTTCCAGTTCCCCCCCTTTCATTTTTTCTGAAATTCATTACATGAAAGTCTTTTTAAAATAATTTTTAATGTTATGAACTGCATTAAAACGTGTCAGCGTGAACAGCTGAACAAATTTTCACAACATTTCTAACATGAAAATTGCCGTGTGAACAATTTTTGAACATCTCTTTTTGTAATTTAACAAAGGGGGGGGGGGAACTGGAAAAGAGCCCCACATTGAAACTTCCTTTTTCACAATTTTTTTAAAAATGCTTTTATGGCTAACGGTGTAATTTTTTGTTATGAGGCATGACGAACAAATGTGTTTATAATAAGAAATTTACAGAACATGACAACGTAACTAAATAGTTTTTCATAACTGTGGCTTTCTTCATAGATACTGGAAAAAGAAATAGAGCTCAAAAAGTGAAATGAAATGCTGAGCGAAGGGGAAAAGAGCCGACACATCAAACAATAGAAAGATTGAAACGTCGGCGTTAAGAAAAGTGGAGAACGAAAAAAAAACAAATATTCACCGATTTCATAACTTCGTCGTCCACTTGTGCTTCCGGTTCTGCCCAATCCACCGCTATTTGCTGTCCCCACAAAAGAATCTTACCCGGAATGAGCTTTCGCCTAGCCATGGCTGCCGCTCGGTGGCTTTCGTACTCTATAAATGCAAACCCACGGTTCTTAGTCTTGTCAGCGGCACTCGGATACATGATGCAGTCTACGACGCCCTCTGTGATTTGAGACATCTCATGCATAGTCTCTTCACGCGTTCGGTTTTTCGGAATGCCACCTACAAACAGCCGACAGTTGTCGATACTCATGCAGACACCAATCATGCGACCCGGTCTTATTTCATAGTTATTCAGAATCCTGACAGCCGCCAAAGCCTCGTCTTTCTGCTGGTATGTACAGAACGCATATCCTCGGTTGTGGTTGGAAAAATCCATCATCAGACGCAGTTCGTAGATCTTTCCAGCCTTTTCCAGAACTGGGACCAGGTCGTCCTCATACAAGTCCCGAGGAATTTTGCCGACGAATACTTCACACTTGGTCGGCGGAGGTCCCTGCCAGCTGGGAGGAGGCCCACCATACCTAGAAAAAAAAGTTAATTTGGATCATGTTCTCTTCATGTTTTTCATACAAATTATTTAATTTACGAATGAAGAAAAAACGAACAAATTTTTTCATTTATAACAAAAATTTTTGACCATTCATTAATCTCCTCGGCAAATTTACTTTGAATTGAAATTTTCTACCTTAATTTTAGAAGCCAATTTTTTTATTGAGTGTAAAAGCAACTGAAACACCAATAATACATTACTTACTTTCTCTGGCCGTTTTGCTGCAGTAACGTGTATCCAGTGCGATCAGTCAGCGCCTTCAGACTCGCAGCATTGAAAGCACCACAAAATCCACTCATTTGACTCCCGCTTCCCACTGCTAAAACATGAACAATTCAAGCAAAACTACAAGCAGTGTTTGAACTCAGGGATTTTGAAAACTTTTAATTTTTTTTTTCGAAATTTCAGAGTAAAACAAATACAAGTTGGCAACAGATAAATGTTCGATTCTCAGGCATTTTAAGGGTCGACTTTGGGTTCATTTATTTCGACAAACTGTAAAATTGAATTTGAATTTGTAGCTGACTACACTATTCCCTAACAACTCAATCAACTGGATCCCATTTTTTGAAGCATAGTTTTTGATTTAAAATTGTGGATGCTCAAAAAGCATACTCAAAGATTTTCAACCTAATCCGTCCATTAGAACCGAACGTGTTTTTTAGTGAACTTCACAGATATATCGAAACAGTTTGAATTTTTTTGTTTGATTTTGAAAAGGCTACCTTCATCAGATGACGGACCATCACTGAATGAGCCATTGCCTGCAATTGTCATTTTATCCAAATTGTCGGCTGAACTGTGTTGTTTGTCTGCGACAGCCAACTTCAAAGTGATTCTTGGCTCAATACAAAAGTGTGCTTGCCCGTTCCAAATTTCCAATGATTTTTCGTTCTTCACTTGTCGAGGAAGATCTCTTTGCGCAATTGTTTAGAATCAATTAGCAAAGTCTCGATGCCACTCGAAGGAAGAATAGGCTCTCAATTACAATTTTTCAGATAAGGCTGAGGAATTATTCAATAATTCTGATTCTAAATTTTTGCATGAACATAAATTTCAGGCTTTCGAAGGAGTTTTAAATCCAATAAGCACAATTTTGCAGTTCGAAGAATGTTAAGCCGATATGAACCGAGTTTGTAGCAAACCTGCCGGGGTCCCGAATCAAAGTGAGTCACTCCTAAGAATAATTTAGCTTCACGCGCAAGCAAGAAAAATTTCAAGCTGAATTTCAAATCTCAATCACAGAGACCACTTAAACACACGAACTCGATTGATGATGAAATGAAAAAAAAAATGCGGGAAAAGGCGAAGAAAAAATTAACAATCAAAAGTCACGACGAATCATCAGTGCGGGAATGAACAAACACGTGGACAAGATTTCATTCCCATTGAGCGAACTGAAAACTTAATTCAGAATAATTAAAATTCTTAAGTGTTTTAGAAAATACGCGAGGAGCAAAATTCAGTTCATGCGCATGAAGATGTTCATTTTTGGAAACAAACTTTTACCGTTTCCCTTTTAACTGATGATAATGAATGTGTCCATCCTACGAAGCTAAATTTACTCTGCTTCTCTATACTACATTAAAAATGGACTAGTGGAAAATGATTATTAAACGCTAAACTTAAGAAGAACATAAGATCGCCCAAAAAACTAAGAAATAGGTAATGATGAGATAAAAATTAATTAAAAATTGTTCTTAAACCTAATTCCTACTGCAAAAATGCGGTTAATGTGTTTAATACTAACGGAAGTGATTAATAAATTTAGTTTAATTGGTCAAATTCAAATAGGCAGTTAAAATGATAGGGTGGGTTATTCTGGGGTAATAATAGTGAATCAGAAAATAGAATCAAGCAGATTGTTTTCCTATAAAATACAGGGTTTGATTTGAATCAAGGTTGCATTGTAGTGATTGAATAGTGAATGATGGTGAATCTGCTTTGAACAAGCAAAGCACAGCAAGATAGGATCAAGTCAACAATCAGTGAATCAACTCATTATAAACTGAACCAACTTGGCATACTTCATACATTTGCCCACTATTTGGGCGAAGACCATTTGGTCTCCAAATGTTTTGTCTCGGCTTTATTTCGTAAAACTGTTGAGCAAATATTGATTGTTGCGAGATAAAGTGCACAGAGAAACCACAAGTAGGCTACATTAAAATTTAAAATCACTCTTCGAAAGAACGCATCAAACCAGAACTGATGATAATGAATGTCCTTTTAGTTTGATGACAACACAGCTAAAGTTCAGGTACGAAAGGGTCAATTTGGCAAAACAGGCAAGTGAAAACTTCTGAAAACATATTGTTTGCACAGACTTTAAATCAAGCAACTGATACTTAGACAAGAAACAACAGACGAGACAATCTCTGTGCGCCGCTAATTCTAACCACATCTGGTCCATGACGAAACAAAACCCCAGTTGCATGTTGAATGCAAGCTAAAACCAATGATAAACTTTTATTGACTTTTGGAAAACGTTTTCATGGCAAGACTAAAAGAAAACAAGGATAGCCGGTTACTGTGCAAGTAACACATAATGTTCTGACCATGGACTTAAAAAATATGCAACATAGTTTTTTCTTATTATTGTCGTTCTTTTTCGGCGTGGTGTGATAAAAGGAGCTGAAAAAAAACTGGGGATAAGGTATTTTCGACAACCATAGTAAAATAAGCTCAAGTTGTTTTCAAGTTTTTTATGCAGTTTGAACTTTTGAAAACTTTGATTCGAGAAAGGCGCTAAAACACTCAAAGTAAACTAATGTTACTGAAAAAAAATAAGTTTTAGCCATTTAATTTAAGCTGTTGTAAGCTTTTAGGCAATTAAGAAAAAACTGCTTGCTCGCTTTATTGGCTCGAAATAAGACGAAAAATCAAAATTTTCAAACCGGTTTTACTCGAAACTGGTTAATTTGTTTGAAATTTTTTAACGTGGTTCCAATCACGACTGTAAGGGTTTTAAATTCTTTCAACGCAATTCGATGACTATTTATGGTACCTGATTTTGCGTGGAAAACAAAAAGAAAAAGCAAGAAAAAAGAAAAATACTGAAACACACCCTAATATAAAGTTCCTCCCCATTTTCAGTGGTCGGAACAAAATAACTGTTAGATCTAAATGGTTCTATAGTTGAACCGTAAAAATGCAATTAAAGCTAAAAATTAGATAAAGCCAAAAAATTTTGTTTTTAATGGGTCTTTTTTGCCAATTGCGTGATGCATCATTTTTGCGTGATCCAACCAAATGAGAAACCATTAGTGAAAAAAACATCCCACAAAAACTGCAAAAACTAAAGGATAAAATTTATGCAGCATTAAACTTAACTTTTCCAGTTTCCCACTCCCTCGTAAGATTACAAAATAAAGTTGTTCAAAAATTGTTCACGCCGCAATTGCATGTAAGAATTATTGTATAAAAAATGTTCATCTGTTCAAGCTGACACGTTTGAATGCAGTTTATAATATGAAGCCATTTAAAAAAGAATTTAGTTGAATGAACTTCAGGAAAAGTAAGAGGGAAACTAGAAAGCACCCCATTAAAAATATACAACATTTGGTTTCCAAACAAAATAGAAAAAACATCGGATATTTGAGCAAAAACAACGTCCATAACAAATGAAAAAAAAAAAGTTTTCATAAATAAATTTGATTTCAGAAAATGACTTCCTGTGAAATTAGAACTGATTGATTTTCGAAAAAAGTATGTTGTGTGGCGACTGGAATCAATAAAAAATTGCAAGGCGTTATTGTATGTTTCTGGTTCCAATTTGATGAAACTTGCTAGTTTCAAGCGTGGAAAATTTTGCTAGTTTCAAGCGTGGCTAAGCTTTAGCAACCAATCTTACATTTTCAGAAGTTGGACTCGACTGGCCCTCTGATGTTATCCCCCTCCCCAAAAGTTAAAACAAAAATGTTTACAACAGAATAAGTGAGGAGAGTGACATTTTTTGATATTTTGAAGTTTTCCAGAATAGATAACCTTTCTCATATAAAAAATTAAATAGTAGCCTCTTCTGAACAATCTCGCCCAAAAAGTTTTTATTTTAGCCCAAAAATTAGCATGTTTTTTGAATTTTTTACGCAAATTTTTTTAGTAAACGCTGGGAATATTTGCCCATCATTTCTAGGTGAAATTGATCTAGCGTTAAAATTAAAAATTTCCTTTTTATTATTGAGGGGGAAGGGCTGTTTATCCGAAAAGACTCGAAACTAACATACATCGAGCAGAAAACATCTGAAATTTTTGTTTTATGTTTTAGTTATTAGTGTTTAATTTTAAACTGGTAGATTTGTACGGTAAAGAATAAAGAAGTGTTTGTTGCATTTCATTTGGCTAAAAAATTTGTCACTAACAGTTTTTGATAAGAAAAATCCGACCAATATTTAACAAGTTTAGCATTATTTAACAAATTTTTTGCCTCCGGATTAGTTTCCTTTGGTTTTTGTTTTAGCTGTCAATAGACAAATAGATGAATTTGATGCCCACTCGCAATTGAAAACAGTTTCAGAAAAATGTTGAAAGCTTTCTTTTTTATTTTGTTTCAAAAGATGGCTGCGGTCAGAACACTGCGACGCTTATGTTTCCAATTGACGGCGCATAGGTTTTATACAGGCTAAGCATCAAACGAATAAATCAACTACCCAGACTACATGTTTTCTATTGGATAAAAATAAGAAGCCTTTTTGAATTTGCGACTTGACTTTGATCGGTTCCAAAATTTAGCTTTCCGATAAATTATATAGTTTCCGATAAAACTAGGATATTTACCAGTAATAAAACAGCGCAGCAGTTTTTTTTCGCAAACAAATTCAACAAACTGCTGCTGTGGTCTCACTATAACAGCAATGTTACAAAAACGAACTTTTTTTCACAATCAACTAAAGATCTAAAATGAAGGAAGATATAATATTATTTTATAATAACTTTTAAATTTCACTAGACTGACCTAAATTTTGCAATAAAATAAACAATTTAAGTTCGTCAAAGAAATCATTTTGATCCAGGCAATATTTCCATATACTTCAGTTTATTCGCATCAATGGATTTTCTCATTATTATTGTCCGACTTTCGATACGAAAGTAGCGGAATATTTGTGCTCGGGGTGGTTTTTTTTTCAGACATATTTCGACTTTTTAACTTGGCAATTTTTGACGGAATTATTTTATATCACTCAAAAATTATTGTTGTACTGAGCTTAATTTTGGAAAGATATTTCACCTGTGATCATTTTTCGCAAACTTATGGGGGTTTAAAGACTGCCATTTCGGCCAACTTGGGACAATTAATGCGCGATATAGTTCGCACTATGAGCGCGTAAGCGGAGATTTAATCCGTCTTAGAAATTGTTCCAAATTGGTTGAAAGAAGCTTATTTGCCATAATTGATTTGTTACTAGGAGCGAAATCTATCGTTTTGTACTTTATATGGCGTGTGGGGGAATGATTTTTAAAGAAAAAGTTTCAAATTTTAGAAAATTTTTTCATTTTCTTTTATTTCATTCAGTTTTTTTGTTATTACTGCTCCATAAACGTTGAAAGGCAGTCAGAACTTTCAGGGCTTTGCCCTGATACGAGCAGTCTTGTTATTTTTATGTTGGAGTTTTAATAGGCGATACAGTTCTTTTATGTGATTTTTTTTATCAAACACAGATCCTTATATCGAAAAGCTATTAAGTAAATTCGTTTTAATTTTCATTGATAATGTTTCCAAAAGTGTTTCGGAGAAAGTTATTTTGTATGTAATTTTCTAGAAACCTTGACAATTCTCCAGCTTTGTTTGGTTTTTTTTTCTGTCTTTTGAATAATACTTTGACGAAAATTTCGTCCACGATGATAATGGATATATAATTTCTACTAAATACTGTTTTCGAAGTTGGGAAGGTTTTGAAACATTGGACTATTTTTCAATTGCAACTGTGGATTTTTTTTCGTGTCTAATTCTACATTTAAAAAATTTCGAATTAATTTTTCGCAATCCTTTGTTGAAATATTATTTTTTTAAACATTTTTCTATTAAGGATATTTGAAACCTTGAGACCTTCATTACGAGGCCTAACTGAGCACTGGATAGGCGCACACTTTTGTGTATGTATGTTCCTGGCTTCCAGAGGCGAGTCTTTGAACATGTTAAAATGTTGTCGGAACGATCAAAGAGAATGAAATAAAAAAGAACAAAGGAAGCGTCCTTGTTGCGGAATCCGCGTACAATTCACAAAATACACGGTTTTGCCTCGTAACGTTTTTCATAGAATTCTAATTTGTGTCAAATAAGTTTTAGAATGAATAGTTTTACTTGTTGGTTTTAAATAAGAACTTGTTCGATGTTTCAGAGTTGTTAATAATTATGTAATTGTTTTAAATTCTTGACTGGTTATATTTTTGACTCCTCGGCCATAGGGTAATAAAACCGTCTCAAATGATTTTCTGCTATTTAAACAGAAAGCTCAAGTTATAATCGCCCAAAAAAATTATGATTTATTGGATGTTGGAGCAGAGATTGTTTGTGAAAACTTTTCAGGTTAATAATTTTGAAAAAAAATTCACATTAAAAACTTTAAAATTTCAAAATTTTTCATGACTAGTATATACTTCATAGACATGATCTTATTAGGGGAAACTAGGTCAAAATGTTTTTTTCATTCTGCAGAGAAATTTTAAACTTTAACTTCACTTCCAAAAGCCAAAGCTATTCAAAATTCTTAGAGCATTTTTTGCTTTCGTAATTGAAAAGCTTAATTTGCCTTCCTTTTCAAAAAATAAATTTAAAAAGCTTATAAAAGCATAAATATTAACCGCGAATATCAATAGTTATTTTCTCGTTTAAAAAGCACGAAAACAAAACACGGCCTCAATAAGTGTCCTCACTACGTATATTGACCCTAAATTAAGACCCATTTCAAAGAATCCAACTTGAAACTTTTAGCTTAATCAATTTTGAGCTCGACTTTTTTATAATCTAAACGTGTAAGACTGTGTTCAGAGAAAAAGCTAGAAAAAAATTATCGACTTTCATCGCTTTGTTCATTCACTTAACAATCTGAAGCTAAATCACACATTATTTTTCATTTCTCTGAATTTTAATTGCAAGTGTGGAAAGCTACTCTTCGCCTGCGTTTGAATGACACAGACCAAACTCATTAGCCAGGTGAGCATTTGATGGCAATAAAAGGGTTGCCGCTTTTGGTTTACTACACAGACGCTAAGCGGAGCTTCGGACCACTTGCGATACCACACAAACAAAGCAGCGCAAGCTAGCAGACAGACAAGGAATGGAACACTAAGTCGAAAAAATTCATAACATCGAAAAAATTCATCATCGAGAAAACATCGGAACAAAGACGCATTCATTAATACAATATCTATCGTTTAAGAAGTAGTCGCACACAATAATTGAGCGACAATAAGCCGACAAAAGTTAGCTATACTCCCGTTGAGAAAAATTGTTTTCAATTGAAAATTTTTTGAAATTTCTGAAATTCTAAATCTCAAGTATCTGAAACAAAACATAAAAATGTACTTTCCTTGTAAACAACACTAAGTTAGGTCACTTATTTGATAAACCATAAGCCAAGTCAATACCAAACAAAGCTTTTAGGCAAAAAAAAACAAAAAGAAAATACAATTTACAGAAACAAACCATCACTCTTTGAATTACAAAACATTGCTAACCCGTAACAAGGTAACTAAGCCAATTAAACATAAGCATGAGCAAATGTCGACAATTTTTGAAAATGAAAGCTTGTCTTTTGAATAAAAAACAGGTTCTGGCCAGATTCTAACACGGGATTTTTAACGCCTCAGGCATAGTAATTTTCTCCAAAACATGTGTGCCGGAAATCTATGAAAGTTCGACTTTGATTTAAACTAAGTTATGAAACGATTTATTTATTTTGTATCACAAGAAAAGTACGTGATGCAACAATTAAGCCGACAAAACAATTAGTTAAGTGATAGGCCAAAAATTTGTGTGAAGCGGAATATCAGTATATAAAAAAACCTGCCTAGATTCGAACTCACGACCTTTGTCGTCTCAAGCGTAGTCGTTACCTCTAGGCCAGGTTTTCCAAAGTCAAGAAAATTGAGTTTATTTTCAATATTAAGAGCACTGATATAACTTCTTAGAAGTACTGTCAGTAATAGCAGTAGACCGGTAGTTTAAATTAAATTTTGAGAAATTGAGCATGACAGCACGTCAATGAAGTCTAGTGCTCTAAGTGATTTTGTTAAGCTAATTTTTAACCCGACAAAAGTTTATATTCCGATTTGATAACGCTCGGCAATAGCAAGCGTAATAACCTTCTTGATTTTTCAGCCATGCAATATACAATAACAAAATTCCGGCTGCTGCAAATGAAACGCTGTGATAAGTTTATTCTAACAGAAAACTTTAATCCGAATTATTTCATCTGAGCTGGAGAGAAAACTCACCTCAAAATGTTGATTGTTTTTGTCGGCTGAATGAGGTCTAGTGATTCAAGTGATTTAGTTAAACAAGTTTTTAACCCGAAAAACGGCTTTATTCCGATTTGATAACGCTTGCTGATCGCAAGCGAAATAACCTTCATGATTTTTAGCCATGTTTTATACAATAACAAAATTCCGGCAGCAAATGAAACACTGTCAAAGTTTGTTCTAGCAGAAAACTTTAATCCGAATTATTTCATCTCCTGAGCTGAAGAGAAAACTCACCTCAAAAACGCGTTCATACCAAGCGAGCGACTTTTACAACAAAACCTACAAAGATTTCAATTTTTCCTCTATAACACATCTACAATAGACTTTGAACTTTTTCAACCAACATCGGCCCAACTTTATCCTCTAGGTTCAAGTAGAAAAAGAACGAACCAAATTTTTATTAGTAGCCAAAACTCCATACAACAAGTGCACATAAGCGAAGAAAACTACGTTCGTATAAGACTACTATCCAAGTCAAGAACCTTATCAAGTTTTAGCTTAAATCAGTTAATAATTTTTTGTTTAGTTTCAATCAACATTATTGATCATCATTTCAATCAAATAAAGAAATAAGCGGAGTCATTTAATTCAGAGGCTCAATTTACTACCCACTAAGAACTTATTTACATACGATAGCGTATAAAAATTTTAAAAAATCAATAACGGTAAAAATACACGGCCATTGCTTAAGATCATAACTTCATCACGAATGGACAGAAATAGACAGCGAAATGAGTATACAGTACAAAGTCAGTCGAGTTTCAAACCCTTGTGACAGTGTAGATTTTAAGTTGAAGTTTGTAAATTTATTCATCTCATTTAATGAGCAGAGCGAGCATTTTAGGAGCGCCAACAGTCAATAAATTAACTTAACCATAAATCAGTTTCATTAGAAATATATTCACGTTTTTTTTCTTCAAATCAGAGTTCCAATCAGTTCGCTATGAGCAAACATCTTCAAGTTTCTAACAAATCAGCATGTCATTCTCAGGTTTTTCAAGCAATTCCAATTAATTCACGTCAGCATCATGATTTCAAGTTCACCATCAACTCCTAGTCCATATCGAGGTGGCCGTCCATTGCTGTCAAGCGAACTTGCACCACTAGCTTGCATTTCGCTGGGAGTTCGTGCGAAGTTAGAGGTCAACCGCTCCTCACTCTGCACATTGTATTCCAGTTGTCCAACTTGTTTGCTCTCCAACTTTTCCAAGGCGAGCTTCGAAAGGTCACATTGCTTATTCCCGTTGACATTGCCTTTAATTGGGGTTCCTGCAGCTTGAACAGGACTGTTTTTGCCGCCACTTCCTGAGCTTAGAGAAGAGAGGGGTGGGTGTAGATACCTGAGAACTTTGTCCAGCATGTGGAGAGGTCCGTTTAGAGTGATGTCCACCCAGCAAGGGCACTGGGTGATTTTGGCGCGGCGGTAACTAGTACCCCATCCCTTGACAAAGCTAATTCTCACCTGACACATGGTACTCAAGTCGTACACGCGATTGTAACTGTAAGTTTCCAGTTGTAAATTATACTGGATGGCCTTGGTGAACGTTTCAAGACGGAAGACACAAGCTGAGGATCCCGAGGGTATTTTCACCACTGAGTGTGGTTCGAAGCCATAGTCCGAGTTGAAACAGTGACTCTGGAAAAAGACTGCGTGCTCACTCAGACATTCCACGTGCATCTCCTGAGAGGACTCGACCCACAACAATCGAATTCCCTGGTCTGAAAAGGCAACATAGCCAACTGAGAGTAACGAACGTAAGGACGAAAACTAACTTGTTTTTTGGAAAAATTTTATTTTTCAATTTTTAAAGAAAAAATACATGCCTTAAAGTTTTTTTTAGTTTCAGAACAGTTTATTGTAGGTGCTTTTTGATAAAAACAACCCAAACTGAGAAAACTGGATTAACAGGTAACTCTTTAATTCCGATGGAAAATCTGAACATTAAAATCCACTTTCAAAACTAAAATCTGATTTCGTTTTTGATGATCTTTACACGTTTGCTGTTCGATACTGGAGTTTGCATTCTTTTTAACAATGAAAATGAACTGAACTTAAAAATAAACAAAAATCAAATTGCGAAAAATCAAAATTGAATGCGAACAAATTTCAAGATTTTTTCCTGAAGACCTATATAGAGTCTTCACTACGCTAATTTTTTAAATTAAAAACTCATTCATCGCATAATTGCAACTACTTCTAAAGCATCGACTGCCTTGAAATAATCTAAATTTCAGCTGAATACTCAGACTGACAACACGCCGCCAAATTGATTTTTTTTCACAGACGCGAAGCAGAACGTCGCACTACTTGCGATAGAAAAAGCATGACTATCACCACTTGCAGATGAAGCGACAAATCGAAAAATAAAAAAATCGAAAAACTGTTTTTGCTCAAAAAACTATAAAAATTGCAGAAAAAATCTTAAATCTTGGAAGTCAAATACCTGTACACACCTTTACCAATTTTACACAGGCCAAGCGATGCTTCTCCTTACTTGCAAACAACACATAAATAATATGACAATAGAGATAACAGCCGTAGAAAAAAATACCAAAGAAATTTATCTACCAATAACTTTCCTACATTTGTCTTAATTTTGCCTAGAAAAATTAATTCAATATAAAAGAAGCACCGAGTGGAAAAAATATAACCAACTTAAAAAGTGCAGAGGGGAGCGTAAAAATTGTGTTTCACTTAAAGCGACAAAGAATTAGGTCAGTACGCCGATAAAAAAAATATACCGAAAAAATTTGGGCCGAATAAGGTTGTAAGCGAAAAAAAACCAAAAGGAAATTCGAAGTCAAGGTAAGTAAAATTACAACGTGCATCAAACACTTAAAGTAAATCAATCACTAAAAGCAACATTTAAAAAAATGCGCACAGAAAAAAAAACGATTCCGAGATGTGGCAACTGAGCCGACAAAAGATAAGCAGACAAATAATCGACCGACAATTTTATTTGAAACAGAATATTTCACGCTGAAAAAAACAGGGCCTGGTCAGATTCGAATCCAGGAACTTTGCCCTCCCAGGCGTATTCGTTACTTCCAGGCTAAGTGGGCCGAAAACGCTACGAATCTGAATTAATTATGAAACAACGTACCACTATAGATGAGTCCAAAAGTCCATTAGAGATGAGTCTTGCGAGCTACGTTATTTACGGGTAAAAAGTCTAGTACCCGAGTGAAATATCCTTAATTATTGCAAGGATAAAGAACTAAAATTTAACTAACCTATAACACGCCTAATTTGTCTGGTCAACGGATCCCTGGAAGTTCTGTTTATGATCCCCAGACAAAACCTCTGAGAGCTTGAGGGATCGGTTAGGCCATCTATCTGAAACTGGTTCTCGTCCGCTTGGTAGACCTCGCTTAGCTTCGTTTCGCCTTCGTAATAAGCTACACTACACCAATGACGCACTGGTTCGTACTCCACGATCTGCGAGTAAGACACGTTGTGCTGCAGTAACGTGTCTGGATGGAGGATACCTTGCTTCAGTTTCTCTGATTCACTCGAGGCGGGTTCTGGTTGATTCGCAGAGGCAGCAGCTGCAGCACCAGTTATTGCACTGAGGTCGCCGACTGAGTTCAGTGGACGCAAACTATCAATATTAGGCCGTTCGGCGACTGAGGCGGATTGCGGTAGTTGTAAGTTTAGATTTTCAATCTGTTCGTAATGACTGGGGTTTATACAAGAGGAAGAACGAGCTTTATCTGAGTTAGAGTAGAAGGAAGACAGACAATTTGCTAAGGAAGAAGTCTTTAGTCCATTGACTGATGGAACATTTGGGTCAATCAACATTTTGTACAGGAACAGATGAGGATGCAGTTTCTCTCCGTTAACCCATATTTTCTGGTCAGTTGTCCTGAAATTAAAGGTTCCATCCAAATATCTAAGATTTTATTTCACAAAAATCAAATAAAAACATTTTAGAAAATGATACATACCACAACCGACGACATTTTCGGACCATCATTTTTCATTACGAAAGAAAACGAACTATACGAAAAAATAACAATTTTAAAACAATGAACAATGAGGTGAAACAAAATGATACACAAAGGTGAAGGGAGCTTCGCAGAACTTGCCATGAGAAAAAAATCAAATTCAGAACAAAGATTGTCGGTTATTGTGCGGCACAGAGTAGCACAGAATTTTCAGGCCATAGTCTTAAAAATACATTTTTCTTTTTTTTCTGTGTGGTGTGAATATGGGCGAAAAACTAGAGCTTAGGAATGTTCGGCATTCAAAGTAAAATAAGCTATTTAAAAAAATTGTGGGAAAATGACTAGAAAAAGAAACGAAAATCATAAAAATTAGACGAAAAATTTCAAGCTTATATTTAACGAGCGGCTACTAAGCTGACAGACCTTGCAATTATCTCAGTTCATACTTGAGTAAACGCCCGTTGATACCAAAAACAAGAAAAACCAAACAATAACTGATCTTCATACTATGCAAAATAAGGTGACAACTGATAAACCAAGCAAAACTGATAAAAAATAGAAGTTTTAAAAGATAGAATTGAGATAATTGCTAACATGGATTTTCAAAATCCGATTAGTGAACATACAAAAAAATAACAACTGTCAATTTGTTTAAGTCAGAGGAAAACTGCTATCTTGTGGAACGAAGGCCGACAAATCAATTTTTCCCAGAAAAAAAATTAATTTCATAATAGCTGAAAAAAACAACGTCGGGCAAGGATTCGAGTTCATCGCCAGTATGATATGCGTAAATACAAGATATCATGGTATTTTAAAAAAAATCAGAAGCACTGCACTAAGCGGATCCTAAATTATACAGATTTACGCTATCATGATAGACTCAGCACCCTATCCCTCTTTCTACAAATTCAAATCATATACCTGCTTGCGCTTACTAGATTATTATCATAATAAAAATAGTTAAATGATAATAACATTTTTCAAAATAAAAATAACTCAACTAATCATAATGATAATATGAATGTAGCGGCTGACCGCAAGGTGTTTCCCCCTCAGTTGGAATTTAGAACCTGTAAGTCAAGTTTGTGCGCTTATTTCTTGTGCAGTCGAAGAGAATTCTCCAGGTACATGAATTAGAGTCATCGTATCTAGTATAAAAATTATCCCACATCCAAATGAGTAGTCGCCCTTTAAGACCCCGTAAATCCAAGCAGTGCAAGATATATTGTGAGAAATCATTGTGAATCTTTTACCGAAGCAGTAAGTTCTTGAAATGGATGTACATGGGGAGAAGAAGAATGCCCAGACGGCTAAGAGACAATTTGTACCTTCGGTCAGCTGCAATCCATTTGCATGCTTTCTGCTGCAGGCCTTCTGATAGTCTCATTTCTTCAACATCAAAATTATATCATGTTGAACCATACAGTAGGACTGACATTATCATCGATTTGTACAGGCTTGATTTAGTCTTGGAATTAAGAGGTAGAAGATAACGTTTCAGCATAGGATGGGTATTGAAAGCTTTTCATTTTCTGATTTCTATGTGTGATGTCCAGCAATAATTCCTCAGTCTTTTTCTTCCGCGACAGTTTCGATTACATGCGAGTTAAAGAAGAAGCCATAGGTAGTCAACGTTTTATGGAAACATGGGCCATTTTGAAGCATTGAAGGCAGTAAGATTTCGTTGTATCCAGTCGCAAATGTTATTGAGATCATTCTGAAAATCTGAGTTAAAAGAACCTATTCGAACGAATTTTGTGTCATCGGCATATATAAAGCTGGTGGAGTGGTTATAAACATCAAGTAAATCATTGATAATTGAAAAAAAAATTAGTGGGCCAAGGATTGACCCTGGTGGAACACCACTACTGACAGAGAATGAGTAGGAAAAGCAGTCAATTATTTTGACGCATTGAGTTCTATCAGTCAGATGGTTAGTTATTTCTTCAAGATTTTGAGATTTTGTTCTCCTAATCTTGCTCGGTTTCGTTTAAGGATTTGCTGAAGTAAACCTTCAATTTCTCTTCAGGGGTACCATGGTATTGTTTTAGTCTAATAAAAGCACTCGCAAGTACTTTATTTGCGGTCATGCGGTTGCGAAACTTAACTATCTTTGTTTTTGGTCTGTTGGAATCAGGTTTATATTTGCCTAGTCGAATTGTTGATGTTTTTGAATCTTTCTGCGGTTCCATGTAGTTCATAATAGAATTCATGGCTTTTTATATTGTATAATGAAAGTAGTCAAGGTTTCCTTTCAATGTCACCAGCCTTGAACTGCGGTACTCCACTGGTCTTGACTTTACGCGTTTTATCATCTTCGGGTTTTGTTGTTTTTAATAGCGCAGAGATGTAGGTCTTTCCTTTTCTTTGATCTTATGGTTTAGCTCTTTAAAAAAGCAAATTTTTTATTTTCTCGTTTTACCGAAAAACGTGTTTAGGTCACCGCCGTGAGCTGGAAGTATCTGATCTGGAGGCATAGAAGCATCTACTGATTTCCCAGTCAAGTTCAGTTTTGTCCTCATTTTTTACTTTGGTATTTGGGAGGTGAACAACCTCTGCGGGGTGGTCCACAGATAGCAATACGCTGACCATATTGTTCCGGAAAAGGAGACCCGCGGTGAGCGATTTCGATTTTGCTCACCTCATAATGATGACAGATTCCAGTCAAAGAAATTGGAAAACCTGATGGTTTCTGAAAAGGAGACCTGCAGTTTACCATTTATTAGACTTTAATATGGCGACAACTTTTGAAGCGACACTTGTGATTCTCAGGATTCCTTTTAATTTTGTACGAGTCTGAATATTCATTGTACTCTATTTTTATTGTCTGTCTTTAAATGATAAAAGCTGCAAAATTTTCCACGCTGTAAATTTTTTCACGCAAACCTCGTTATCTGCAATTACTTACTTATCTTTTCCTTCCTCCACATAATACGATTGACCTTTTATGACCGGTCGTGGTGCTTGCTGCGCTGAGGGATCCATATAATGTATACATGCTTCGCCCGATTGCACAGCTCTTCGGCTAAATTGGCAAGTTCGTCAGCAATGTCTTGTTCGGATACGGTTGAGAGAACTTTACCATCAAAGGCGTCGTTGCCGCCAGGAAGCAAAACAACATGATTTTGTACCTGTCTGTCTCCGGTGAGAAAGTACTGACACTGCTGAATCGTGCTCCTGCTAGCGACAAGATATTTAAGTGACGAAACTTGAGATGACTTGCTTGCGAGTCTCTGATAAGGAGATTATCTGATGGAGATGATTTGAATTGATGGTTTCTTCTTTGAGACACAAAATGCAGAGTCGGCTCAGACAAGGGACATCTTGATAGTATCGATCTCGCAGAACAAATCACAGGAAAATATTTACTAAGTTTATCACAACAATTACGTACAAAAGCGAAATCGTACTTATTACCGGTAAGTACGATTTTAATTGGAGCAATTTCGAACAATTAAGCGATTCACTTACGCGCCTCAGCACTGGAGTCAAGTTTAACTTACCAACCAGAAACTCAGTGAAATAGCTTCTGGTACTGAAAACCTCGCCTGGCGAACTTCCTTTTCAAAACAGGGATAACCCCAAGGATCAATTCTGGGTCCCCTCCTCTTTCTGCTATTTATTAATGATCTTCCAGAGTGTATGTCTGATATGGACAGTTTCGGGTATGCTGATGATTTCAAAGTAATCGTAACAAATCAAGTAGCGATGAACAAGGCGACCGATAACATCCAAGCCTGGCTTAATACAAATATGATGCTACCAAACACAAAAAAGTCGCATACTCATAACATCAAAGGAAACCTTGAAGCACACTTATGCAATTCCAAACTCACCCCCGTACAGTCGCAACGTGACCTAGGGCTCATAGTGCAGCAAAAGCTAAGTTGGAATGAAAATTGCAAACGCAGATCGAACAAAGCAATGGGCGCCTTATTCCAAATAAAGCGAAATCTAACATCAAATTGTAACTGGAGAATCAAATTGAATGCATACACTGGATACGTTGTCTCAATTGCTGTATATGCTTCTCAGACCTGGTTGCCAAATAAAGGAAATTTAACAGAGTTCGAAAAAGTTCAACATCATGCAACAAAATGGATAATAGGTTCTGACTTACGCTATCGAAATCGGTCAATTAAATTGCATATCCTTCCGTTAAGCCTGTATTTTGAAATGCATGATCTCTTAATGCTTTTATCTATTAAAACAGGTGAATTTGATGTTGAAAGTTCAATTGAAAATGAGACAAAATGCAATAATACTCGACAGAGCAATCGAGGTGAATTCAAGTTATCGAAACCGCGACTAAATAAAACCAACGAAAACTTCTTTCGAAGGACGAAACTACTCTACAACTACGTTCTTCGTGTTTATGAAAGTTTCGGGAAATTTCTAAATAAAGCTAGTATTCAGAACATTTACTGGAACTTTTTCACTAAACAATACACCGAATAAAATAAATTTGGAGAGTAATATGCAGATGTGGCAACTGCAATCCTCTCAGTAAAATAAAACTGAACTGAAGATGAACTGAAAAATAGGTGAAAACCCTTGAAACTCTCTAAATTCTGTATTATTACTATTATTATTATAAGTAAAAATCTATAAACTTATTAAATAGTGTTTTTCATGTTTAATGTCTGTAACCTTGTGTGGAAGGCCCTCAATGGAGGGATTTTAGAGACAAGATTTTCAATGTCTTTTGCAAGTAGAACACAAAACAGCAAACGATCCAGATATCATATCTTCAAGACTTCTCCAACCAAACAACTCCTAATTGCTGATTCCCAGGCCAGACATCTTCGAGCAGGAAACTTGAACGTCTTGTCACTACCCGGTGCCAGTGTAAGACACTTTTACAATTAGCTGCCTCCTCATAATCTGTTCGACCTCGTCATTCTTTTTGTCGGAGGAAACGATCTGTATAACTACACCCGACCGACTTTAACCCCAGCTACCCAAGTAGCCGACGACATTGTTGACTTAGCAAATTTCCTTTGTGAACGAGCTTCCAATCGGAGCGTCATCGGTGTACCGGAGCGTGACGAAAACAAAACGATATCAAAATCTGTAAACGATCTACTTGCCGTGAAATTGGTAGCTCAAGAATACATCAATCTTTTCTTTTTTCTATGCTTATCTTAACGTGTCCGTTACAGACTAACTTAATCTACCAAAGGTCCCTTCAGGGGCTCACAGGTAGAATTTGTTGGTTGTCTCCTCTGATTTAAACTTTCCAAAGGTCCCCTCAGGGGCCACCGGCTAAGTTTAAATCAATCTGTGTTTAAGTTCTCCACCCCAATTCTAACGAACTATCCAATTGCCCCAATCGAACTCAAGCAAGTGAAATGACGCGTGACAACTGCGCTACGTGCAACAGGAAAATTAAAAATGCCAACAAATTCTTTTGTTGCATTTGTAATAAAACACTTCATTTAACAACAGAGTGTACTGAGTTTGAAAAGAATACTATAGAAGTTCTCATTAAACTTAATGACAATCTTATCGACATCTGCAATAGTTGCAAACCGAAAAAACAAGATTTTTTTGTCAAACTTGGAATCAAAGTTGGAAACAAAAATAGACGAAAATCTGAAAAAGTTTCAAAACGAAACAAATAATCAAATGAAAAAACTTCAGAAACAAATGAAAACCCTAACCGATAAAATTGAAAAGTCAAATAACATCATTACAAATATTCAATCGGAATTCATAAACGTGAAAAAAGATACCAAAACATACAAACAATCCTTAGGAAAAGTGAATCTTGGAAAATCAGTTTCAATTCCCAAAAAAACGCCGAGGAGTATATATACGAGGTATACCAGAATCAAGCTCCAGCTCGGCTGATGATAGATTACATGCTGATTTAGCCGAAGTAGAAAAGCTTCTTGAACATCTCAACGTCGAAGATAAAAACTTACTAAAGCGCAAAGACTCGGTAAATATGACGCAAGTAAACAACAACCAAGAACACTCCTGATAAATACTGAAAACCCAATCAGCCGAGACCTTATACTGAGGGCGGCACACAAGCTTAAAGATTACCATCCCTATCAAAAACCCGTCTATGTAAATCCTGAACTAAACAGTACGGATACCAAAAAGCAAAACGAATGCCTGAAAAAACGTAGAGAGTTAATCGACAGTGATGAAAATCAATTAACCTGAAAGATATTCGGGTAAAAAATCTCATAATTGAGATCATGGAAAACAAAAAGTGGATACCATTAGAAAAAAGCTCTTACGGCGATGAGACAAGTGACTCAGAAACCGAAAAATGACAAGCAACAATCTCAATTATGACTTTTAATACTCGAAGCTTAGTAGATATAAACAGTAGAACAAAGTTTTCAAATACGCTAAATACACACGATTACGATATTTTATGCTTAACAGACACTTGGTTAACTTGTGATATCCCATCAGCAGCCCTTTTCCTAAATAAATATCAGGTATATAGAAAAGACCGAATGACAAATGATGATCGTAAAACAAAACATGGTGGAGTACTAATTGCAATCAAAAACGACATTCTTCACGAACATATCTCATTACAAAATGAACATTTCGATTGTATAACCATCAAAATTAAAACTAAAAAAGACAGCGCAATTTTGCTTTGTTGCATATACAATGCTCCGTACCCAAGTGTCTACCAATGGGAAATAAAGGATTTGAAAACCTTATTAGAAAATATTCAGCTTAAGGCAAAGGAGTGTCAATATAATCTGATCATTCTAACAGGTGACTTAAATCTATCACAAACGAACTGGTTAACTATGTCATCAAATCTTGATTACGAAAAAAAAAATAATTGATTCACTTGTAGAAAGAAACTTCAGTAATCAATCGACTGATCAATTAGACGTCGTCCTAGCCAATAATCCAGATTCCATGGTCAACTGCGAATATGGTTATAGTTAACAAAATGATCTTATGCAAAACGACAAAAGTTTTTCCGACCATAAACCAATTGTTACAACCATCGACCTCGAAAAGGAGGAAACGCAATTTGCAGTAACTGATATAAAATACGCTTTTAACAAGGCTGACTGGGACGAACTTAATAAAAGTATCCTCCAGGAACCCTTTCAACCGTATTGCTATAGTAATTTAGATGAATTGTTAAAGCAATGGTACGAATGGTTGTGGAAGAAAATAGATAAACACGTACCAAGAATTATCAAACATAGATCCCAGCTACCCCCCTGGATTTCCAATGTTACATCAAATCTTATGAATAAGCTGAAAACAATGAAAAAACGAAAAAGTGTAACTCTTAGCAAATTGACTAAACTCAAACGCTTTGAAAAGCAAATCAAACTTGAATCCGAGAAAGACCTCGCTGAATATGAAAAATCAGTATTTGAAGGAAGAACGTTGAGTAAAATACAGAAATACTTGAAATGTATACGAAAAACACCCTCAATTCCCCCAACAGTAAATTTTGATAAGACAGTAGCGTCAATAAATGTTTAAAAGGCTGAAGTTTTTAATCAATACTTCGCGTCTGTCTTCAGTAAATCTAATATGCAGCTTGGAAGAGAACCAAATAACATAGTAAACACAGCTAACTACACTGAAAAACAAATAAGCTACATATTGTTTGAACTTAATCCTGACAAATCAACCGGACCCGATAAAATTGGAAACACTCTTAAACAAGTGTCACAAAACCCTGATCTTTAGAACATGTCTAAACAAGCAATGTTTGTTACCCCAGCTACTGGAAAATATGCCAAATAACAACAATATTCAAAGAGGGCAACAAAGCTGATGTAACCTGCTACCGTCCCATCAGCCTTCAGTAAATCTAATATGCAGCCTGGAAATGAACCAAATAACATAGTAAACACAGCTAACTACACTGAAAAACAAATAAGCTGATATGTCTAAAGCCTCCTATGTTGTTGCTCAAAAGTCTCGGAAAAACTCCTTTTTGATAAAATTTATTGTTTCTTTCATTCAAAATTCCACACAAGTCAATACGGCTTTAGAAAAAGACGATCGGCGACACTGCAACTAATATACTTTCTCGACGAAATATACGAATGCAATGATCTAGAATCTGTCAATGAGTTAAGTGTTCTTCATCTCGGCTTTGCCAAAGCGTTTGACACAGTACCGCATAGTGTGCTAATTAGCAAATTAAGGTCTCTTGGAATTGGTGGAAACATCTTAGGACTTCTAAAATCATACTTAAGCCAACGCAAGCAATACGTGCAAATAAGCGGCGCAAAATCAACCCTAAGAAATGTAACCAGCGGTGTTTCCCCAAGGATCGATTCTGGGTCCCCTCCTCTTTCTGCTATTTATTAATGATCTTCCAGAGTGTATGTCCGATATGGACAGTTTCGGGTACGCTGATGATTTCAAAGTAATCGTAACAAATCAAGTAGCGATGAACAAGGCGACCGATAACATCCAAGCCTGGCTTAATACAAATATGATGCTACCAAACACAAAAAAGTCGCATACTCTTAACATCAAACGAAACCTTGAAGCACACTTATGCAATGCCAAACTCACCCCCGTACAGTCGCAACGTGACCTAGGGCTCATAGTGCAGCAAAACCTAAGTTGGAATGAAAATTGCAAACGCAGATCGAACAAAGCAATGGGCGCCTTATTCCAAATAAAGCGAAATCTAACATCAAATTGTAACTGGAGAATCAAATTGAATGCATACACTGGATACGTTGTCCCAATTGCTGTATATGCTTCTCAGACTTGGTTGCCAAATAAAGGAAATTTAACAGAATTCGAAAAAGTTCAACATCATGCAACAAAATGGATAATAGGTTCTGAATTAAGCTATCGAAATCGGTTAATTAAATTGCATATCTGTCCGTTAAGCCTGTATGTTGAAATGCATGATCTCTTAATGCTTTTATCTATTAAAACAGGTGAATTTGATGTTGAAAGTTCAATTGAAAATGAGACAATATGCGATAATACTCGACAGAGCAATCGAGGTGAATTCAAGTTATCGAAACCGCGACTTAATAAAACCAACGAAAACTTCTTTCGAAGGACGAAACTACTCTACAACTACGTTCTTCGTGTTTATGAAAGTTTCGGGAAAATTCTAAATAAAGCTAGTATTCAGAACATTTACTGGAACTTTTTCACTAAACAAAACACCGAAGAAAATAAATGTACTGGGAGAGTAATATGCAGATGTGGCAACTGCAATCCTCTCAGTAAAATAAAACTGAACTGAAGATAAACTGAAAAATGGGTGAAAACCCTTGAGACTCTCTAAATTCTGTATTATTTTTATTATTATGATTAGTAAAAATTTGACTACCTCTCGGATTCGATCAGCGACCTAAAGATTATGAGTCTCAAGCACTAACCACTCAGCCATGGACGCTTAATAAATGCACACTAGCCACAAACAAAGGAGAGAACAGATGCTATGAAGTTTTCAATGCTAGAGATCGTGATTATAGCAAACGCGCCACCAAATAAGTGAACACTTTTATGTGTGAGTTAGGTTAGAAAAATAGAAGGTTCGTACTAATAAACTAACGCTCACAAGCTGGCTTGTGTAATAATAATAATAAAAAATATTAGGGCTGATATATCACTCGGTTTATTCTGATGATGATTTGGTAACTTAATTTATGTAAAAGAACAAGTTTTCTGAAAACAAACCTAGGCCATCGAATTACTGTGCTAGTACAGCAGAGGATTACTATCAGTAATTAGTTGATTTTTTTTTCAAAAATGACTTTTCTGCGCGTACGAAGACACAAAAACCCTGCAAAAAAATATAACTGGCTTCTATAAACTACAATTAGTTTTGCAACATAACAAAATCGAAAAATTTCTAGAGAAACTCAAAAAGTATTGAAAACATTTCTTTCAAGTTACATTCTAACCCCAGCGATAAGCAAGGGTATTTCAACCGAGTACTAGATTTACTCCCGAGAAAAACTATGTTTAGGGAATATTCGACTCCTGATAATAGCGATATAAATTTTATTACTTGCAGGAAAATGTCACTCCAAATTTATTAATGCTGATCGGTTGTAAATTTACCAACTCCGAAGGTGTAGTTTCCTTTTTTCACTAAATACTCGCTCTTTCTGGCGAGCACGGAATAGACGCTACCTGCCTGGTAGGCACATATCATTTGGAATGACATCCACGAAAAAACTTACTGTTGAAATAGAATACACGAAGACTGATTCGATCTACTTGTGACAGAATTTTGCAGCAGTTTTAAGTCGTGATCAGTTAATTGGCTCACAATAAGAACCATTAAATCAATTCTGCAATTCCATTCAACATTGAATCCGTCCCCTTCTGATATCTTTGTCCTCCATTCAGAAATTAAGTTGTCACTAACTTTAAGGTCTTCGGCAATCTGGACCAGTTTTTCACATATTTGTTTTCTGTCAATGCCTAAGGTCATCGCAAAATGAAGCCGTCATTGCATAATTTGAGCACCACCACCGTTACTTAGCAAACTAATGAATCAACATTTTTGTCAATCAGGTACCATAAATTCTGAAAATCAAACAAACTTTTTGAGTAGCTACAAATATGTAAGTATTGTTGAAAAATTATTGTGGTATAGCTTTTAACAAGTTTACTTGACGTCTTAATTTTCTGAAAAATTCTGGACTTGAAACAGCGAATTAGAGTTGAAACTGAAGGAATTTTTGATTAAAAAAAGTAAAATTCAAATGTTTTCGCAACACTGGGCATCGTCAGGATTTATACATTTCTTTAAATAGTAATCAGACCATCGAAAATATCATAGTAACCGAGGTTACAGTCAGCAGCCTTTTCATCACATTATCCAGTTAAAATCTTAGGAACTTTCTAGATACTGAAGAGTAAGGTATAATGTTAATAGAAGTAGAGAATCATTGTAAATTCAAACAAATGATTTCGAACGTTTTTGTGCATCTTCAGGTTTTAAGAATCTAAACTATATGTTCAAAATGATCAAAGATTATAAAGTGTCATATACGTCATTATTTCAAAATTTAAAAAACTTATCCTTTTACAACTTCACAATTATTACTAATCTTGGAGAAATTTTTGCTAAAAAGTAAATTTCAAACGTTTTCGCAACTATGTACATCGTCAGGATTTGTACAATAAACTTATCTAAATGACGATAAAACATCAATTCATTCATGTCATTCGTGTCCTTGGTCCGCCTCTTTACAATTGCTCTACCCATGATATTGATGTTTCAGATTTTCCACCACGTTATCAACTTATGCTGACGATAACAATCCTCTTGTAGCTGGCTGCAATAGCGCTGACAATGCTCGGGAAGTTATTAGTTCGCTCTGTCACCAATTTGACGCAAGAAACTTGTTTCTCAATGTTCAAAAATCTTCCAAGGAAATGCGTATCATTTTCAACCATAGTGGCAGTAATGCCATTCATATGGTTGAGGGCATTGAGGTTTTTGATGACCTCAAAGTGCTGGGGTTTACGATTGACTCTAAATTTGGTTTTTCTAAGCATATTGACAAAGCTGTTAAACAATCGAATTCTATACTTTTTTCAATCTGGCGTCTTGGTAAAATCGGTTATTCGAAGGACGAACTTGGTATTTTGTATCGTGCTTTTATTCTCCCAAAGCTTTACTATGGCATTAATGTTTGGGGTGGTTCAATTGTTAAAGATCTAGAGAAGATAAATTTGTTTCAAAGACGTGCAATAAGGCTCGGCGTTACTGATACTTATGAACCAATATCTGCAACTATTAGAAGAGCTGACCAAAAACTCTACGATGCAATCTTCCAAACAGGTTCTGATCATCTGTTGGTTTGATTAGTTCCGACACGTTCTACCTAGTCAGCAAACAATCTGCGCTGTCGTGATCCACCTATTGCTCGCTGTAAGATGGAGAGGCAAATGAAAATATTTCGTTATCGCCTGCTTCGCAGACTTCATGACATATAGTTTAATTTGTTATGTCTTAATACGATTTATAGATGTCATTCTATAACTAATTTAAGTATCTATCTAGCTATCTATCTATCAAATTACAAATGTTATTTACAATAATTCAGATACATTTTGGTTCTAAACCATCATGTTAAAAAATTAGCCAATCACAGTTGACCTCTAAATTACTATTATGATTAACATATTTTTTAACCTCTCATAATAATTAAACAGCTTTAATTTATTTTGTCTGGAAGTTTCTGAGTCATAATTTTGATTTATACATGCACATTTTAAAATAAAAAACCAAAAATATTTTGGGACTAAATTTTCAGTGTTAACTCCCTGCTCCTAAACTCATCGCGCCTGTTCAAGCCCGGTTTCTCTTTCCTGATATGTATTGCCTCTAGTGTTAAGAATTTTGTTTGGTGTTTGATCTATCTATTATTTCCCAACTAAGATCTGCGCTATTTCCCCCAAGTTGGCATTGCTTAAGGTGGAGGCCTACCGGTGAGTCTGCTTTCTTATGTTAATCAATTCTAGTGGTAAAATGTCGAACAGTTTGACCGACATAGGTGGAAGTGCAACCACTACATGACATATATAAACCACTCTTGACTTGAGGTCATTAGAAAATGCTGACTTCAGTGATGGTGAATATGATTCTAGTTTTCTTGTGGTGAAAACCACCTGAACGTTAGTTAATTTTCATTAACCTGTTAGTAAAATATTGGCTTTGGTTACCTCTATATTGCACCATCAGCATTAGGGGCTTCTTATCCTTTGGTGATTGAGTTGACAAACACCTCTCACTATCCAGGGGCTTGCCCTTACCCTCGATGATTTCGCATAAGGCGCCTAAGCCACTTTTGCGAACCAATTTTCAGGGTACTGATTTGTCAGCCATTGCGCCCTATTAGTTTCCATTGCCTTATCAAATTGATCCCAGCTAGATGTACTCCTAAAAACCCTGTGTACAGTGCTTTGGATAAAACTACGCTTATACGGAGTTGGCGCGCAGCTTCTATAGTTTAGTTGATACCAACTGCAAGTTGTACCCCTACCCTGCGATAAATTTATGTTCAAAGCCAGGAACGCCAAATTCCCCTCCGAATTAGTTTCCTCTGGAGTGAAATGCAGATTTGGATGAAGAGAATTGGCGGCATCGAGAAGACAAAACTCGGCTCCCCTCTTACTGTTCTAACAATATCATCCAGATACCTGAGGAACAATTTCACCTGGTGAGTATCTTTCTCCTTGTTCTTAGCGCGGCAGCAGCTTTCACAGTACCAGACTATCTCGGTTACTGATGCGTACACATCATCGGATATTTGTCTGCATTTTATTTGATACCAGTTTCGGCAACACTTGCATTCAGCCTCCTGTATCTCAGTTCCCACCGGTATTTCTTGTCTTAGAGCAAACTTGTTTTGTTTCAGCCATAGGTTTGCCAGAATTACCGCTAGAATGGGTATTGCTAGACCATCAATTTGCACATACCATGAATCATTACACTTGAAATATATTTTGTTTACCGCCATATACAAAAGCATTTTCATGGTTGCTCTTTGAATATCAGGAGGAGCTTCTGTAGGGCAATTTCAATTGCTTCCTTCAGGGAAAGTTAGTGTACAAACTTTTCACATCAAGAGATATTATGGTTTCATCCGGATCTAGGGCAATGTTTTCAATTGTTTCTCCGGGATCCTTAGCATTGGTTTCTATATTGGCTCCATCGGTTTTGTCAAAAATTTTGCAAGCATTTTGCTAAGATTCTCATACGAGCTGCCTGGAAGGGATAGTACTGGTCGTAAGGGTGTCTCAGGCTTGTGTACCTTAGCTACACCGTAAAAACGGTCGGGTTGCCCCCTGTCGACCTCATCTTAGAATATAACTGATCACTTATCTCGTCATTTTTTTTCATGGCTAGTAATTCTTTGTTAAGTTCTTCCTTAATTTTAAGTATAACTTCATCAGTGGTTGCATCTTTTTTCACAAACTGAACAGATTGCAACACGGATTCCAGCTTTGACTCACACGTTTGTTTCCTCATTATGCAAAAACTACCCTCTTATCAAAAGGCACAGCCAGCAACCCTTTATCTCTGAGATATTTCCTCGTGTTTTCAACGGCTTTGTCTCTTGGGTTTACATTACCTTTTTTGCATATGCCTTCGCGGCGGCTTCTATTTCACATAAATTTTCACCAGATGTTTTTAATATTTTCAATTGTGAGAGGAAAATGTCGATACCCGCCAAAAAATGTGTTTCGTTAAATTTGTCTCTAATGGGATGCTTCGGGCCCATTGATAGCACTTCATGTATCCATTCAGGCAGTTCAATGTTATCAAGCACCGTAAATGATCGCTCATTTCTCTCCCAAGAGGTTTATCATGTCTCTCGGACAGTTTTTCAAAATTTTTTCTTTGGTTTTTTGATGTTGTCTTTAAGCTTGCCTCAACTTGACGCCTCACGAAGCGGAAAAAGGATGCCCACCACTGTTCGTCGATTTCTTTTTATACCAGTGATCTTGCTTTCATTAGCATCTCCTCGTATCTTTTCCTATCCTCATTTGCCCCAGAAGTTTCAGTCCTTAGTAGTCTCAATTGAAAATTATGAGCAGCTTCGTCCAAAAAAAACCGTTCTCGGGGACCCTAAACTTCAAAAAGTCCGGTATTAGATCGTTTTTCAGACTTTTTCTCAAAAATTTCAGTCTATGTATAGATACTTGAACTTCTTTAAAGAGTTTTAAATAGTCTAACACAATTTTCCAAGTTAGTTTTTTTTTTAAATTTGTCTGAGCCAAACATCAGGCAAAAGTACTGTGGTCATTGTTTTGCAGGCCACGAGTAATGAAACTCACAAGGCACAAAGCAAAACAAATCACGCTTTCTCACCACTGTCTCTGAAGTGCAGACACTTCCTCTGCCTTCAGCTTCTGCTCACGTCTTGCTTTCACCTTCCTCCGTGTCTGTGATGGTCTTTGTTCTTTGCCTCTGATATTGCCAATCAGCTCTGACAGCCTTTATTTGTGTGCCACTACCAATCGCAGAGATTTCAACTCCAATTCAGCACTCTGGTGCAGCTTCAAATTTTCCTTGAAGTGCTCCGGGTCGTTTTGCGTGCTCTTGGAGAGTAGCCGTTTTGTTGCTGGAATAATGAGCACTCCTATGCCGAGAAGCTGACCAAACAAGTCGGGCGTTCCTTCATTTCTGCAAAAGACGATCGCCAATATCTGCTGCTTCTTCGACTTCGAATAGTCTTTCAGCTCTTCGACACCGGCTAGGCGATAGTTGTTTGTTCTGTGGCTGCTAATGGTGTTGTTCACCACGTCGTGCCACACAACCACTTTTTTCTCCTTCGATGGACTGTCTTCCAGTAATCGTCGGAGGTTCTTCCTTTGGTTCAGCAAGTTGTTATTAAGGGATAGGTTAAAAATTGCTGTAACAAGGCTCTCGTAACGCTTTTTTTTCACATGTGTTAATGGTGTTGATGCTGTGGAACAGGGAGCTAGCTGCTTCAATATGAATCTTTTCGGTAACTCAAATAAAAAATGGCCATATTCTACGTATCGATAAAAAACACTATAAAAA